CCAACCGACTAAGCCACCCAGGCGCCCCCTACCACCTCTTTTATATACCTGGACTTCTGTAATAGCCTCTAGCCTCATCCCCTCCATCCTGTTCCTCAGGAAAATCCATGCTACGTTCCTCAGGCTCCATCATGCTACGTGTGGGCCTCTGTTGCAGCTCATCATGAGTGATCTGAAATGTCACCTAAGCTAACATTTGTCATTCAACAAATAGTTATTGAGCACTGTCTATATGCACAGGCACTGTTCTGGGCCACTGGGATGCAGCAGTAAATGAAAGAGAAATCCCCGCTCTTCAGTAGCTTAAGTTCTAGTGTGGGAGACAGAAAATAAATGTAAATATGTATGTCAGGTGGTGATGAGACAAAGTAGGGGAAGGGATTAGAGGGTGACTGGAACGTTTGTCAGATAATGGCCAGATAAGTCCTGGAAGACTTGTCATTGGAGTAGAAACTCAAGGACGTGAGGAAAGGAGCCGTGCAACAGTCTGGGGGGAGGAGGGACGACACAAGGAAAAGGAGTAGCACCTACAAAGTTCCTGGGGCTGTTATGAGGAATAAGGAGGCCAGTGTGGCTAGAGTGCAGGGACCTGGGGAGAGGATGGGAGAGGAGATGAAAGAGGTAGCAGGGAGCAAGTAATATTGACTGACCCTTTGTAGGACAAAGTAAGGCCCTTGATTTTTTTTTTTTTTCCCTAAAATAATACAGAACATAAAATTTACCATTTTAAGTGTGCAGTGCAGTGGCATGAAGCACATTGGCATTCTTGTGTAAACATCACCACCATATATCTTCAGAATTTTTTTTTCTTCCCAAACTGAAACTCCATAGCCATTAAACAATAACTCCCCATCCCTGCCTCCCCCCAGCTCCTGGCAACCATGTCCCTTGATTTTTTATTTTGAGTGAGATGGAAAGGCATTGGAGGGTTTTAAGTGAAGGAGTCATGTTCTTTATAATACTAAGGGATGGGATTTATTCTCTCATTTTACATCTACGACCCTCTGAAGATTTTTTTTTTAATGTTTTATTTATTTCTGAGAGAGAGAGAGAGAAAGACAGCCAGCATGAGCATGGGAGAGTCAGAGAGAGAGGGAGATACAGAATCTGAAACAGGCTCCAGGCTCTGAGCTGGCTATCAGCACAGAGCCCGATGCAGGGCTCGAACCCACAAACCATGAGATCATGACCTGAGCTGAAGTCGGACGCTTAACCGACTGAGCCACCCAGGCGCCCCAACCCTCTGAAGATTGTAATAGCTCACAATTATATAGCACCTTTTATGTCCCAAGGCACAATTCTTAAGTACTTTTCAATTAAATCTCCTTTAATCCTCATTTGACATATAAGAAAACAGGGTTCATGGAGGTGCCTGACTTCGGCTCAGGTCATGATCTCGCAGTTCGTGGGTTCGAGCCCCACGTTGGGCTCTGTGCTGACAGCTAGCTCAGAGCCTGGAGCCTGTTTCAGATTCTGTGACTCCCTCTCTCTATGACCCTCCCCTGCTCATGCTGTCTCTCTCAGAAATAAATAAAACATTTAAAAATTTTTTTTAATTTAAAAAATTTTAAAAAAATAAAACAGGGTTCATGGTAATTACTATTATCCTCACTTAACATATAAAGAAACTTAGGTGCAAGGAGCTTAAATAACTTGTCTCCATTCATAGAGTTAGTAACTGGTGAAGTCAGACTATCTAGCTTAACCAGGGTGTTTCACTTCCTCTCTGAAAAGGAAGTATTCTTATATAGGACAAAGAGGATAAGTAATATGCTCAGCCACATACATTTGGGAGTGTGTGGCAGAGCTGCAGTTCAAATCCAGGTCTGTGTGCCCATACTGCTCTCCTATACCTGATGAAACCCAGCCCCTCCATATGGCCTTCAGGCCTCCAACCCAGCTCCCCCATGTGCCCAGCGGTGCCTCACCTCTGTACCTTTGCTCTTGCTCTTCCATTTGCTGGGGGAACAGCCTTCCTCAGTGGGGAGTACCTCACTGAGAAGCCTTTGCTGATGCCCTAAAACTAGAGGTATGTGTCTTTTTTTGTTCCCATGGCCCCTTGGACTTGACACTATTAGTGTTTGTTGCTCATGGCCAGCGCCCACTCACTGCCCATGTCAGTTGACTGTTACTTTAAAAATTTTTAAGACTTTTTTTTATTTTGAAATAATTTCATAAGTTGCTAAAGTTATTACAAAACAATCTTGTGTACTCTTCACCTAAATTTTCTAAAGGTTAATGTTTTACCAAGTTTACGTCCACATCCATTCTACCCTCAGGGTATAGGTGTGTTTGGGAACCATTTGAGAGTAGGTTGTAGACATGATGTCTCTTTACTCCTAAAACTTCAGTATGTCAGTGTCTGTTCTGTGTATATGGGACATTCTTTACATATCCACAATATAATTGTCAAAGTCAGGAAATTAACATCAACAGGATACCCTATAGACCTTATTCAAATATTTTCCAGTTGTCCTCATAGGGAAAAAAAAAACCCAGTGCAAGATCCAACCTGGGATCATGTGTTGCATTTACTTGTCATGCCTCTTTAGTCTTTTTTTTTTTTCTGGAATACTTCCTCAGTCTTTGTCCATTACATTGATATTTTTGAAGTGTATGGTCCATCTTTTTTGTAGAATGTCCCTCAGTTGGGTTTGTTGGCTGTTTCCTCATGATTAGATTCAGGTTTGCGTTTTTGATGGGACTCTGCAGAAGCAATGCTGTAGCCTCTGTGTCACCTCGTGAGGTACATGAAATCCAGTTGAGTATTTTGTGTGTCTTCCTTGCTGCCTATTTCCCAATAGGCCATGGGTTCCTGAAGTCCCCTAACCTATCTTGATTGATTTTCTCCAGCTCTCCTGATAACCTCCTCCCCTGCCCACCTTCTCTTTGTAGCTTCTTTGGTTTCTATGATGCAAATGAGACGGTCTTGGAGATGGAGGAGCAACCGGTGAGCCCCCTGGGATTACTTCCCTTTTCTTCTGGCACGCCCCACCTCAGTCTGTAGCCCTCCCTGCCACTGACCGTTTGAGCTGAAGGGTTCACCCTGTGGGGAGGGGACCTGGGATACCAGCAGGAACTCACTTTGTTTCTTTCTTTCTTCTGTGACTCTTTGTTCACCTTGAAGGTTTATCTGCGGGATTCTTTTGGGTTGAAGACTCTATTGGCTCGGGGAGCCATAGTGAGGTGTCCAATGGCTGGGATCTCCCACACGGCCTGGCACTCCAACCGTACCCTTTATGAGACCTGCATTGAACCTTGGCTCTCCTGAGATGTCCTCAGGGATCCCCCAGGAACTCCCCAGCCCAGAGACCAAGTGGTGGCCTTGGAAAGCAGATGTCAGGCTCCGGTGTGCCTGCAACCACCCCACACTGCCCCCACCAACCAGGGCTCCCAGGACCCCCTTCCTGTGCTCCTCTGTAAATGACAAATCCTGGTCTCTACCACCTCGTGTTTGGGGTTTGCTCTGTGCTGTCTCTCTCCCAAGGCTGAGGTTGGGGAGAAACCAGGTTTTTAACTTGTGGCTGCTGCTGCTGCTGCTGCTGCTCCTCCTCTTCTGTCTCTGGCAATATAGGAGAACCCAACCCCTACCCACTACAGGGGTCTCCTTCTAGGCCACTCAGGACATTTTTAGCTTCTGTTCTCCCCATGTTACCTTTTCCTCAGCCCTCCCAACTCCCAGGAAGGACTACCCAGGAGAGTGGGGTTCTGAGGCTCCCCTATGGGGACAGTTCCGTTCTTGAAGTGTCAGTGTTGGGGAATATCTATGGCCTGTGAGGCCCATCTCAGGTTTGGGGATCCCCCAGTCCCTATGTTCAGTGTTGGGGTTCCCCCTGGGAGCCTAGTTTGAGGCCCCAGCCCCTTTTAGCTACCATTGAATGGGTGTTAACCCTGTATTTATGGAAATAAAATTCCATTTCCTCAGTGTGGTTTGGCTCATTTCCAGTTGAGGGGGACCTGGCTCCCCAAGGAGGGTGGGTATGGAGAGCCTGAGGTCTGGGTGCCCGGATGCCTGGTCTGGGGTGGGACCCCCTTGGTGTTTCCGCTCTCTAAATGCCCATTCTGTGTGGGTTCCTGATTCTCTGTGGGTTCTTTCCTGCAGAGGACAATTATCTTCCTGTCCCAGCCTAAGCTTGGGGGGCTGAGCCCAGGGCTTTAGTGGTTTGTGCCCCAGCCTCATGGGTGGAATGCGCCTGCCACCCCCAGGCTAGACAAGGGGGCTAAGGGTCAGGGTGGGCATTTGTTGCACCCCTTTTCGACCTTTGTAGGCCAGAGTTGGGTGAGGGGCTGGACAATGAGCCTCCTCTTCCTTGAAAGAAGGAATTTTGGTGGAGACAATAGGGCCCTGTCTGCTCTGGCATGGGGGGTGGTGGCTGACTCAACTCTGCCCCCACCCCCAGGCCCTAACAAATGTCATCATCAAATGGGGGCAATTCCCCCTTAGTGCCCTGGGCTGCCCACCCCTCCTTCTCCCTTTGTGACGACCTGCCCTCCTTTCTTTCCTCATCTAATCTTGCCTCTTCTCTCATGACCTCTCCCTGCTTTCAGTTCTCCCCTAGTCTGTGTTGGGTTGAGGCGTGTGGCAAGAGCCACACACTGGTGGTGTTAGAGAGCCAGTAGCCTCTGCTGATTTGGGGAGTCCAGAAATAAGGGGCCTCGGAGAGTTGGGAATTTACTTCTTGGGGCCCCTTTGCTGGGGTGGTGGTGAAGGTAGTGCGACCTAGACCCCAGGGAGCAGATCTGGCAGGAGCTATGAAGGAGGCTTGTGGGAGGGGGCAGGGATGGGAGGATTCTGTCTGGCCCAGCCCCTCCTCTCCTTTCCAGCCTGCCCAACCCGCCCACCAGTCTGAGCTGCTGCTGCTGAGGCTGGTCTGCTGGAAGTCTCCGGGAGAGAGGGAAAGACAGGTGGGGAGACAGTGTCAATGGGGAATGAGCCTTAGAGTGAGTGTGAGTTGGGGAGTGCTGTAGGAGTGAGGGTGTGGGTATGTGGGGTAGTAGGAATGTGTTTAAGGTGCAGTTTCCAGGTATATGGGTTTGTGTGCAGGGTGTGAGGGGGTGTAATGGCGAATATGTGAGGCTTTGAAGGTAGAAACATTTAGAAGAGGGCTTGTTACAGACAGGAAGGTCATGGGGGCAGAGAGTTAACTGTGTGTGTGTAGAGAAGGTGGAGGGAGTGTGTTGGGGTGTGCACTCGCATGATGCATGCTTGGACCATGATGTGCTGGATGAAGGGGTTGTGTTAAATGGACATGCAGGTGTAGACAATCCTGGTGGCTAGTGCAAATTTGTGTAAGTGATTGTGCTAACTCCCTTAGAGGGCACTAGCAGAATGCTTTTGGAGGGGCTGGAGCTGGAGAAGTTACAGGAGAGGGGAAGGGCCTCCATTAACCTCTTCTTGCCTGCAGCCTGCAGTTTGGAGTCAAGGAGAATCATGGGGTCCAGGGATGAGCTGTGCACTCTCTTAGGCGGACTCTCATTCCTCCTGCTACTGATGTCAGTCCAGGGGGCCAAGGGTGGATCCCTCAAGGAGAGGTGATGACAGGGGGCGGGTCCAGGGGTGAGGTCATCAGAAAACCTGCTGGGGGTGGGACGTCAACAGGTGGCAAAACCATGAAGTTTAGAATGGGGGTGAGGCTGTCACCTCCAGGGAGGGAGGGGCCTCAGTGGAGCCTTATGGGGAAATGGGCCTCCTGACACCCCCGCCCAGGTGACTGAATGTCTCTCACCTTCTCTGGCATGGGTACAGCCAGGGGGTCTGCTCCAAGCAGATGCTGGTGGTCCCCCTCCATTACAACGAGTCCTATAGCCAACCAGTGTATAAGCCCTACTTGACCATGTGTGATGGAAGACGCATCTGCAGCACCTACAGGTGAGGGATGGGGAGCCTAGACTCTAGAGCCTTTCAAGAACTTCAAGAACCCAGACCAAAACCCATAAACCAACGTTCAGAGCCGGGCCTATGTTCTAGGACAACATACCGCGTGGCGTGGAGGGAGGTGAGGAGGGAGGTGCCACAGACCCACGTCGTGTGCTGCCAGGGCTGGAAGAAGCGGCATCCAGGGGCGCTCACCTGCGATGGTGAGGCTGGGTCTTCCCAGGCCTGGGGACAGGGCGCCCCGCAGGGCTCGGGAGGCGGGCAGTGGGTCTGGTTTCGAACCACCCTTCTATGCCCACAGCCATTTGCGCCAAGCCCTGTCAGAACCGAGGTGTCTGCGTTAAGCCAGAGCAATGCGAGTGTGCCCCAGGCTGGGGTGGGAAGCACTGTCACGTGGGTGAGTCAACTCACCCTACACCCCCATCCAGTGGCACCAGGACCTTATACCTTTGGGGTGCCAGCTCTCCACCACCCTTCAGCCCCCATCTTCTCTCCCATAACTAGACGTGGATGAATGTAGGACAGGCGTTGCCCTCTGCTCGCACCGTTGCCTCAATACGGCAGGCAGCTTCACCTGTGACTGTCCCCAAGGCCTGGTGCTGGGCCTGGATGGGCGCACCTGTGCAGAGGGTGCCCCGGAGCCCCCAACCAGTGCCAGCATCCTCAGTGTGGCAGGTGAGTGGGAGCATGGGTGGCAGTGAGGGCTTGCACTCAACTGGGCAGTGGGTCACACCCTCTTTTGTCCCAGTTCGGGAAGCAGAACAATATGACCACACCCTGAGGCAGGAGATTTGGAAACTTCGTGGGCGCCTGGATCGGCTGGAGCAGGTGAATGTTGGTGATTGAGTCCAACCCCTCCTGCAGGGTATGCTCCACCCCCAACACTCTGAGTGTCTCTTCCTTTGTAGTGGGCGGGTCAAGCCGGGGCCTGGGTCCGAGCCATGCTGCCCATGCCACCTGAAGAACTACAGCCGGAACAGGTGGCAGAGCTATGGGGCCGTAGCGACAGGATTGAGTCTCTCAGTGATCAAGTGCTGCTGCTGGAGGAGAGGCTAGGTGCCTGTAAGTCCTCATGCCCCTCTCTGCTTGAATCCCCAGCCCCAAGAGCTGCTCCCAGCTCTCCCAGACGCCCTTCCCTGGTTCAGTTTTCCCAAACCCTTCCCCAACACTCAGTCTCCCCATACTGTCTCCCTTCTTCTGGTACCCTGTCCAGTAGTTGCACTTATTGCTGGGTGAGAGTCTCTCCAGTGCCCACGCAGCCCCAGAAGTCCACAGCCAATGTTTCTGCCTCCTTCCTTCACCAGGCTCCTGTGAGGACAACAGCCTGGGCCCAGGCCTCAATCTCAATCGGCGGCCGATAAGGAACCTCTCCAGAGCCCCTGCTCGCTAATTTATAGAGAAACTGGCCCCACTAATCCTCTGGGATTGGCCAGCTGGGGAAGTGCAGATAAGGTTATCTGTCACTAAGGAGCAATGAGCGATGGAAACTTCGAGAGCCGAAGGAAGGGGGAAAGATGGGTGCCTTGGGCCCACCCCTGAGTCTTCTGGCTGGGGCAGGTTGCCTAGGCGAGAACCACTTCAACGCCTTAACAAATGCAGCCAGAAAGTGCCCAGATCTCTCTCTCTCTCTCAATCTTTATTCTCGGTTTCTTGCTGTTATCCAGATAATTAATAAAAACCACACAAAACTGGGTCCCACCCTCTCCTTTTGCTCCCAGCCCACCTTCCCAGTTGTGAGCACAGGTGGTGGAGGCAAGAATGGCTAATGCCACGGGGAGGAAATAAAAACTGGCTCAGAGAGGGGAAGCCTCAAAAGAAAGAGAAATAAATTAAAAGCCCTCCCATCCCCTCCAGCCAGGGTTCAGTTCCTTTCCCCAACTCCCCAGGGAGCAGAAGTGAGTGCAGCACCTAATGTCTGCCTCTTCCCCTTGTGTCTGGTTAGAATGGTACAGCAGGGCTGCAGGGGACTGGGTTGGGGCCAGGACCACTGAAGAACTGTACCACAGGGATAGGGGGAAGCAGAAATGTGGAGACCAAACTGGCATCTAGGAGTATGCTCACCCCTGGGCACCTGGGTATGGGCAGGATGAGACCTCGGAGTGAGAAGAGTCCAGCCTCCACTGACAGGAGGCTCCAATGGGAGGGAGGGTAAGGGTGCTGAGGAGTGTTCCCAGGATAAGCCAGGAATGTTCCAGGCATTGCTTCCAGCCACAGTGTGAGGAGTCCTCACAAATGGATAAGTCCACTGAATCCATGGACTTGTGGTAGGGTATTGTTCCACAGAATGGATGAGTTCACTGGCCAATGTGGAGTGGAGAGGGAGAGAAGATCACAAAGGAAGAGGGTCCAGAGGGTCCACTGGGGAAAGGATGATGTGTTCCCACCCTTGTGTAGATGAGCCACTGAAGATGAGGGGGAGGCAACCATCCCAAAGACAAGATGGCACAGGAGGTGGGTAGGGGTGAGTGGAGACTGCACTGAGGCAAGAGAGTCCATGGGGGGAACTGGGAAGGGGCAAGGAGCGGTGCTATATCCACATTCACTTCAGAAGTTGAAGATTCCAAAGAGGAGAACAGTGGGGAGAGGAAAAACAAGAAAGTGGGCTTGGCCCTGCTTCAGGGCCCACTGGGCTGGTAGGTGTGGAAGGATGAAGGGGGTAGATGGGAAGGGAGGTCAGAGCCGGGCCTCGCCCACCCCTCCAGATTTCTTCAGATAGTCACCACCGCCCCGGCCATCAGTGGAGATTTCCCGGAAAACGGTGAGCATGGAGTGCCGGACTCTGTCAGCCAGGGCTGGGACGTCATCTGGTGTCAGCCCTTCTGTGGGCACTGGGGGCAGCACCCGTACCTGACATCGCCCTGGGAGGGGGTGAGCACCATCATGGCCTGTCTACCTAGGCCTTTGCCCACAGGCAGGGCCCAGTTCCTGAGCTCTCCTGCTACTCCCTCTGGGACCTTTCGGCTCTCTTCTCCCTACCCTGGACAATTGCCCCTCAGCTTGCCAGCTGCTACCTGTTTTAAGGCCCTCCTGCACAAAGCTTTCCCCACATCCCAGTCCGGACACCTCCTTAGCACCCCTTCCAGCCCCCATCATCTAGGATTAGCTTTCACTGTCAAGTGTTATTACAGCTTTGCACACATAGGCCTTATCTTTCCCACTGGGCAGTAACGGCCCCTCATAGGGGGACCAAGTGTTACCCATGTAGCAGGGTACGGTACAGTGGGCACTTAATATTTATTGGCTGGTGTGGGGTCACATTGGATGATCCTTTGGATATCTCAGTTCTGATACTGACCAATCCTGCCTCGTGGGGATGTCTACCCTCTCTCTACCATGGCCTTTCTGGCCACCCCTAGCCCCAGATCTACTCAGAGCCCTCACCCGAAGTGAAGCGACGCTCCTTCTTGCAATAGAAGTCTTGATAGGAGGACATGACTATGGGGACAATGGGAACCTGGGGAAAGGGAAAAGCAAACAGCCCACAGTTCCCTTCCAAGGCCCCCATGACAAGCCGCTGCCAAGAAAGAAAGGGATGGCGGAAGCTGGGGGCTCAAAAGCAGAAGGGGAAATAGTAATTACCTGGGCCTGTACTGCAAGGTGGAAGGCGCCACGTTTGAAGGGCAGCATGGAGCCATTGTGGTTTCGCGTGCCCTCAGGGAAAACCCAGACCCGCACCTGGGGAAGATAGAGGGTCAAGAAGACATACACAGAGGGGTCAGAAAATGGTCATGACGCTGTAATGGACCTTTGAGGGTCACTGCCCCTGATCTACTCCACAATGCCGCAACCCCCTTTTCCACAGGGGACTCACGTCCTGGGTGAGCAGGGTCTGGGCAACTTCAGACATGACACTGATGGCATCCCCAGTGCGCTTCCGGTCGATGAAGATGACTCCTGCCAGCCAGCAGGCCAGTCCAGCAGAGCCAGCCCACAGCAGCTCACGCTTGGCAATGGGCACACAGCGACCTGGCAGTACCTCCATCATCACTAAGGCAAAGGTCGGGTGGGTGATGGGTGAAGATCATGGTGGAGGTAAAGTGTCAATGGGAAGTGGGCCATCACCCACACTCCTAAGGATGGAGATGGAAGGCAGGGAGTGGGAAATCCTGAGGAAGATGGGGGGAAAGGGGGAAGGAAGCAACATCCAGACAAAGGGGAGTTGCGAACCCCTAGGGGAGGAGATTCTGGGGAAAGAGGAAGGGCATGGCTAGGGGAGGTGTGCCTACGAGGGGTCTCACCAAGCAGGTCGAGTGAGCTCTGGTGGTTGGAGACCACGACGTAGGGCTGTGAGGGAGGGAAGTGGTGGGCCCCACGCACCTCCACTCGGATCCCATACAGGTATTTGATGTGGAGCAGCATCAGACGCAAGATCCTGTGGGGTCACAGCAAGGGGTTCCAGTAGGACCCACTGACGTCCATCTGCATGTCTCCCCTCCCCTCCCCCTACTGCTTTTCTGAGCATCTTTGCAGTCCTCTCCCCTTCCTTGTCCCTGGGCTCTTTCCTTCTTCCTTACACACCCCACATCCTCCCTATCCACTACTCACTTCTCACTCTTAGATTCTCTCATCACCCAAAACCCCCTGGGCCTCACTTCATGTTCTCAACGTTGCGTCCTCGCACAGCACACACAGGGATGGCGAGCACAGCCAGGAAGAGGATCCAACCATTGTAGAAGGCCATCTTGAAGAAGTATTTGGCACTGGGGCTGCAGAACCACAGGGTGGGCAGCAGGAAGAGCAGCAACAGGAAGATGAGCAGCAGCACAGGCCATACCCCTGGCCACAACTCCATTCTGGCCACCTGCAGGGGACAGGGCAAGGGACAGTGGGCCTCGTTCCTGGAGAGGAATGGGACGAGCAAGGCCTAGAAGACACGGTTTGGGGAGCAAGGAGGACAAGGGCCAGAGACACAGGATGGGGTCAGGGCTCCCACCATAACCTGACCAGAAAGCCTCTCTAGGATGGGGGTGGTGGGGATAGGAGCTTGGGACTGCTCTCCCACTCCTCTCCCATAAGGCTCCAGAAATATTCACAAAGACAAGAGATATGAGACATGGACACCCACAACGCACAGATATGTGGTAATAGTGCAGCAATAAGACTAGCAAACACTTGTAGCTGTTAAGGGTCTTAGGATGACCTATACCTGACTGTCTAATATGGTAGCCACCAGACACATATGGCTACTGAGCATTGGAAATGTGGCCTAGTTTGAACTAAGTTGTGCTGGAAGTGTAAAATATGGATCAGATTTCAAAGACTGAAGGAAAAACAGAATGTTAAAATATTCCATTAATATTCTTTTGTATTCTGAAATCTTAACCTTTTGGAATACTGAGTTCAATAGGATATATTATTAAAATTAATTTCAGGGGCACCTGGGTGGCTCAGTCGGTTAAGTGTCTGACCTCAGCTCAGGTCATAATCTCACTGTTAGTGGGTTTGAGCCCCGCATCGGGCTCTGTGCTGACAGCTAGCTCAGAGCCTGGAGCCTGTCTTCTGATTCTGTGTCTCCCTTTCTCTCTTGACCCTCCCCTGCTCATGCTGTCTCTCTCTCTCAAAAATAAATTTAAAAATTTTAAAAATAAAATTAATTTCACCTTGTTACTTTTTATCTTCCAGAAAATTAAAAATTACACCGTGGCAAAAAAAAAAAAAAATTAAAAAAAAAAAAATTACACCGTGGCTAGTATTATATTTCTGTTGGATTAGAGTTGATCTATAGACTATATTAAACCCTTAAATATGAACCACGTAAATTACACTTTTAGGAGATAGGCCCAGAGAGGTTAAAGAACTTACCTGTGGTGACACGGCTCCTAAGAGGCACTTCCTAGTTTAAACCTAGGCAGCTTGTGCTCCTAACCACAGTTACGGTGCTGCCAGTATGTATGCACATAGGTTAACACACAGCACACAGCAAATACAGTGAAAGGCACAAAACACCCACAGACATTCTTAAGGGCAGACTGGCAAGAATAAAGGCTCTGTCACTAATGCAAACACAGATAGACAGTCATACAAAGATTGACCCACTCACACACACACACACACACACACACACACACACTTACAATCACATCCAGTAACAGATAAAGGAAGGTAAATGCATAACTAGAAAAATCTCCCTCTACCAAGGTATCTACCCTCTCCCCTCCTTCCCATTTCCAGATAAACCCATGGACATACCAGGAGTTGCTACATCTATCAATCCTGCCTCTACAGGCAGGCAAACAAACTCTTATGCCTCCTTTCCCTTACAGGGACACTGGAGGTGATCTGGTCAGGCAGGTATAACACGGAAGGCCTGACCAAATGAAAAAAAGAGGTGAGAGAGTAAAAGACCACACCACTGATCCTGGGAAAGGAAAGAGTTCAGGAGGAAGAGGTGCAGGCACACAGAACCTACCTTTTAGGTTCTTCCTCCTTCCTCCACTCTGTCCCACTGCTGGGGGCAGGGTCACAAATCACAAAAAGGTTTTCAGGCAAACACCTGTCACTCCCAGCAAGGCTACAGGCACTCCTTTCCAATGACAGGAAGGTCTGTGCTCAAAGGTAGGCCCACTGCCAATCAGTGAACGTTAAGGGGCAATAGAGGAAACAGGAGACTCCGCCAAC